CAATATAGAAAATATCCCCATTTAGACATTTGGAAAACACAAAAGATTGAGCGAAGAAATATTTACTTTTCAATTAGATCCTCTTCTCTGGTTGTGTATTGTAAAAATGCTATATATATTAGAGTAGAGCCAGAGAAGAGGATCTAATTGAAAAGTAAATATTTCTTCGCTCAATCTTTTGTGTTTTCCAAAAATAGGATTGGTGAAATGTTTAAATGACAGAGCACAAAAACTAAGCAGTACCAAAGAAAATCTAAAACAGGAACTGGTACATATAAAAGAAGCTTTGAAACTTAATAATTACCCGGAAAATTAGTCAAGAAATATGTAAGGAAATGTAAAAATAAAATAAATAATGATAGTAGCGATAGTGATAATAATAATATTAATGACGACACCAATAATAAGGAATCTAAATCATCAGTAGTAATTCCATACAAGGAAGGAACGTCGGAAGCCTTACGCAGAATTCTTAACAAGGCAGGAATAAAAATGGAATTCGAACCCACAAACTCAATAAGAAACAAGCTTTGTCGGTTAAAGGATCCTGTAGAGCCTTTAAAACAAAACAATTTAGTTTATCTAATACCCTACAATGATTGTCAGGTCAAATACATAGGTCAAACAAGTAGATCAGGGGCAATCAGACTAGCTGAACATAAAAAATTAGCAAAATCTAGATTGTTTGATCCAAATAAGATAAGAAATCTAGAGAATAGTTCAGCTATAGCGCTACATGCAGTTACACACAACCATACAATAGGCTGGATGGGATAGGATGACAGTTTTAAAATCTAATGTCACAGAGTATAGGGACAGATTGATAACAGAAGTCTTGTTTATCGAATCAACTGCAAATACATGTAATAGGAATGATTCATCACATGTCCCCGATATCTGGAAAATTCTACTACCCATACAACAAATAGGAGAAAAGAAAGAAAACTATAAAACTCAAGTGTCAAAGTTGTGTGATTACAACTGATATGATTATGAACAATAAATTTTGTTCGAAACGTCAACCAGTAAATAATACTGTTTCACTGTGTGATATATCTAATAAACAAACTAACATGGAATTACTTACTACCACAGTGCCCAAGTTTTACACATATATTAAATAGAAATCTGATTTCAAAAGAAAATCTCCCTTTTAACTTAGTTTTTCATATCATTCTTTATTTTGATGTAGGCACATTTTATCACAAAAGAATCTACACTATATATATAAAGGATTCCAGTGACAAACAGGCTTGTGAATTCTTAGGCAATTGTCAAAAACTTTTCATTACTGTAGAGCAGTCAGATTTTGGCAAAATGATGGTAATTCTTTAGTAATAAGCTAGTTGAGATTTTGAACATCAATAAGAAAGTTAAATGTAGGCTGGCGAATTGTCAAAAGTTTTACTTTAAAATTCAGCGGTCTCCAGTGATTTATTGGAGTAAATAATTTTGGATAAAAATGTGTGTTTTTACGTTCATTTGTCAAAACGGATTCATAAATCTATAAATGCACCAGATAAAAAATTATTTTTGATTATTAGTTTGTTTTGACCACAGTTTATAATGGTAATCTTCACCTTCATGTGATGTAGTAGAAAAAGACACAGTCATTTTCACTGAACGTGTAAAAACATTTGCTTTAACAGTTCAAGTTCAAACTTTACAGCTATTTATAAACCCTTATGATGCAAACTTCTCATTGAAATGTACAGAATCTTTTCTAGAACTAGGCGATAAATAAATTGAATGATATTTCGCTTGGAAGATCACGTCATGAATAACAGTATTAAGTCTGGGAAGAATTCATAAACCAAATGACTGTAAACCTGTAATAATCTTGACAATGCGGTGAGGAACGAAATACATTCACTCGTACTGAATGTTTGAAAAAAATTGCTTCTACGTCTTGTAGAATCCCCCTCTGTATTTGTTGAAACATAGGGATACTAATTAGGCACTTAGATTATTCTACAGAAGTTTGGTCATTACCTTTTGCTCTAACAATCTGAGAATAGTTGGAAATGATTTAGCTGTCACTTGTATCGATGTCAATTTATTGTTAATCAAGATTAATTGAATTTAAATGTTGCATATTAGCAGTATCAGATGACAGCAGTTTATGACAGGTTTCGTTAAAACCAATGTTATCTGTAAAATAGATTGTATGGACTGCAAAAAATACCGTATGTTTGTCAAAGCGGACAACATCTTCAGCTTCTTAACCATGAGCATAAAAAAGCAGTTAGAACAGGTGACATGCATTCGTTCACATCGATACACAGAAGCCACTGTGAACAGTGATCCAACCAAAATCTTAGAGGAAACATAAATAACGCCAGAGAATTTTGATGAGCATGGTACCTACAATTAACAGACATGTAGATACAAATCAAATTTGTCAATCAATAAAAGTAAGCCAGACGACTAAATGTTCACCAGGGTGGATACGAATGCAAGTGAATACAGTCATAAGGAAATCTACATGAGCAACTAGTTATAGTAAAAAGCACCTGGACACAAAATAATTCCATCAACGGGGAAATATTGAAGCCCAATTTACAACGAAATTAGCTCTAAAGAATTTGTCCAGAGAGATAATGGAAACTTTACAACATAACCACCAACTCAGAGAGCACAAATGCATCACATATAGGCTTCTGCCGTATTGGAACATAAATGTGAACATGATACATAAGTAATCCAAATTAATTTTCACACATTTACTTTCAAATGCTAACTGAATATATTTAGTGCTCAAAGGATTAGCATAAAAGAAGGGTTAGGTTATACCTCTTCAAGAGTGACATAATCAGTTTCCTAGACACAAAACTCAAAGGTGATGTAATCGGAGTTTGTGTGTCCTGTTTCTTTCAATACTTGAAAGTCCAAGTGCAATCTATGAGAGCTTTAGTTATTTTCGTTCAAGAACCATATTATACACCTTGATAGAGTTTCATCGATAAAATGATCAAAAACTAAAGTATATTTCAGAAACGTATTAGATAAAACTAACATAAGGATGACAAAAATCAAGTAGTACTGGCTTTATCTATGAGAAGCTACTGCTGGGCTTTAAAAACAAAAAATGGTAATCTTCTTTAAGCGGTTCTTACACTTAGGATAAAGTTCCTGGTTAGTTGCTGAAGTTAGCAGTTGTTCACTTAACTGATGGCATTTTCTTCAGCACACTGTTTTCTCCTTTAACTATGTTTGCAAACATTTTAAAGAAAAACTGATCTTGACATTTAAACCACGACGCTAAAAGCTTTTAACAAAAGAAACTATGAACTTAAAATTCAAATAATCATGCGTCGAAACAAAAGACTTTTTTCAACATATATTATCAGAAAACACTGAATTGGAATAGCGAAACAAGATTAGTCACTGAATAGCTATGAATGAAAATACTTGTGTTTAGTAGACACAGTTTAAATCTTTTATGTTCATTAATAGAAAGACTTCATTGATACACTTCGAGAGTACATTAATTATCATGATTTATTCATATACTAAGGCAAATTCTTTAGTTTCAACAAACAGAATGTAATGTTTGATATATTGTGAATATTGTTTCTTACTGCTGTAAAACTGATGACTGCAAAATTTGAACTTTGATCTTCTATTTGAAAATATATTCAACGAGTACAATTTATATTTGATATTACTTAGGTTGTCGTGGTACCGGGACTTTTAATGTGTTAAAATGGTAAAAATTAGGGTATTTATAATAAAATATAAACAATGTGTCAGATTCTAGGCGAAATTCAGGAATATTTGTCACAGGTGACTCTTAAAAGTTGATCTTTCAGCATTTATACTTTTTAAGCTAATATCATGCAAGAATTTTCATGTCACATACAGTGAAGTTTCCAGGCTTACGGTTTCTTTTAATCATGTAAGTTAGAACAAGCTAATATTTGCCCCTTACAACTAATGTAATTAGACATCACCAAATATCTCAAACGTATATCTGCTAAACAGAATTATTTGAAGACGGTTCTTTATCTATCATCTCAGTAGAATTAACAGTTGTCGTTGTTGCTTACATTAGGTTGAACCCTTTATCTTCAGTTCTAATGGCTCTGTTCACCTAAATAGTGATGCTTTTGTCGATAAAAACCAATCATAAAGTTGATCAGTTGTGTCTCCAAGGTTGAAAAATCATCTTCACAGTCAGTTTCCATCTGTACAGAGCAATTAATTCTCCCTCTCCATTGAAAAACAAGCATATGTTTGCATTTAATGTACAATTAACCAAATAATATTTTGAAACTTCTCTGGTGGTTTCTGTAATAATGACTTTCAGTTGTGCAGTTTAAATAACTATCCAAAAGTGTGCATTCAGAATTAATTTGATCGAATTACCTAGATCTTCTGTACAAAATATTAATAATGAAATGAAACCAACAGTAATTACCAGGAACCAGTATACATTTAAATATTCACAACCGGTTTCACTGATAATCATACCGAGGTACTATATTTTTCGAAATCTCCATAAGTTGATTTTCTGCTAAATTTAAAGGATGAATGAAATCTAAGTGTGATCCGGAGCTTGACTGAACGTGGACAACACACAGCAAATTCTAATCAGAAATCTTTCCACCTTACTGGGATTTAATTATTCTTATGATCGATTATGTATATACTTCTTGCAGTAACTGAGAGTGTGTATTTTATGGAAAAACAATTAGTTGTTTTGCATGGTTTCCTATGATCATTCAGGATATGTTATTCTCTGTCACAAATTAGTTTTCTTTTGATTATCTGACCTGAGACATTATTCTATCATCTAACTATATGGATGGTAATCACAAAAACTTCATGCAAGTAGAGATACATTGGCAGTTACTCTGTACATTTTCAGGTGTACCGTAAAGTCGTTAGTGCTTTTCAGTGGAAGTGAAATTTCTATGACTCTAAAAAAATATCTTTCACTCTTTTTCACACTATATCATGATAACCATATTTCTATCTTTATTATTTTCAAAATTAAGAGGATGACATTTCTATGGCTGGTGGAGACAGATATTCTGAGCCTACGATCGTACTGAATCCAGGTGACCCTGGGCCATTGGAAGTGAATTTTGGTGAAGTGCTTTATTCTCGCTGCTCAGTTCTCGACAATGAAAAGTATTCATACAGATGGATTCAACGTGCACCGGATGGAACTGTAAAAGAAATATCATCTGATGCCCGTCTGTACATTACAAACTTTGGACCAGAACACTTACAATATCCGATTCGATGTGAAGTAACACGGTTATCAGATGAGGAAGTTTTTGAGAAAGTTTTAAATCTCCGACTTAGTAAGTTGATTGTTTTTTATTGGTGAACACTCAAATATCATTTATTTTTTATAAACACTTTAAAATATGCAGATAACCAAATTTAACGAGAAAAAAGCTTTTTCATTAAGTAAAACCGATTGGATGGTTAACAGTGACTTGATCTTTGTTCATCAAATAAAATTTACTATTTTCTTAACACTGGAAAATAATCAAATAATTTACTTCAAATGTTCAATTCATTTTATTAAATCAAATTTACAGTTTTGGGTCCATAGTTGAAATTATTCAAATAGTATAAAGTCGTGGATATTATTTTTAAGTTTTCGACTGCATTTAAGTTATAGAATTCATTGACATAAAGTTGGAACACTCATTTTTCATTGCATCAAAGTTAGTTTGTTTGTTTGCTAGCCGTTCCATTACCATATCATCTATTATTCAGAATAATTAACCATATTTCCTCCATTATCTTTGCGTACATATTTATAAATGCACTTGTGATTTATACTAATTGCATGTAGATAGCATGATTTTGTTCCACTTGTTCAGGAAAGAATTCGCTTGAAACATTGGATCAGTGAACATAATATCATTAAATGTCACAAGTTGTGTTATAACTAATTATCATTAACTGTAATGTTTTATTTATTTTCATGTGAAACTATTTTTTATTAATTATGTAGTATCATCAGGTGGTCTTGATACTGATGATGAATTCAAAGCATTAAAACTGACTATCAAACCTTTACCAGATGAAGATTTTCGTCAAGGAACCATTATGCGACAATGTCTATTTGAAAATGATCCCGAAGCTAATCAGTTATATGATTTTCATTGGATTGATCAAAATGGCCGAGTTGTAACTAGAGATGATACACTGTACCTATTGGTGGGTTGTCATATTAAAATTTTAAATAACAGTGGGAAGTTAGTTTATAATTTATTTGCAAAAAATGGATTTTTCAGCCAATTCAGTCGGTACTGAGAAATTCACGTGAATAACCGTTCATCAGCTACTTTAGTATACAAATAAAATGCGCATTAGAAATAACTATTACCTTCTAAATAATTAGTTGCCTTTGTATTATTTAAAGTGGATTTGATAAGTCACACGTTATAATTATTATCAACCACCTTGTTGGTTTTTTTGTATAATTCAACCTACTCATCTAAAAACAACACATTGTTGCAGTCAGCTACTTGGCATCAGTTATCATTTACGGACAGTATACAAAAGCGGTAAATAGTATTTTAGTGACATCTCAATATTAATGTAGATTTATTTATTTATTATAAATGAATACCATTCACAGAACGGTTAGAAAGTAACGCATACTATTATTCATGGACTTGGTGAGTATTCCTAATAAGTAAGATTTCTTCAGATCGTCTACACATCTATTGTATCTTTGAAAATTACTAGTTATTTGGAGAAATAAATGTACATAATTTAAGTATATCTATACCACTAAATCTAACTGACTGTAGTATTGTTTCTGCCTAACAGTGTTTTTCAGTCATTCAGATTGTAATGACTTCTTTTTTAACCCTGTAGAAAGTTACCAGTTTACCAGAAAAATTGAATGCTCAGAGACTGATTAAGCAACATCATTTAGGAAACCACTACAAACTCTTTAGATTCTGATGTATTTTTGAGTAGTCAGTAGTGTTCATGAAGTTATCACAGTATAGCAGCAAAAGAATACGTAGAATATATATATATATAGAATCACGTGTTTAACATACCGTGATTTAACACAATACTAATTAATATATATCAGTGTAAATTTATATATTGCACTAGATTTCATTGCATGATTAACATCATCAAAGATATTAGATTGCTTGCTTTGTTTATTGTTAACATTACATTTTATCTTAATGTATTTATAGTTAGTTAATTTATTGTTATACTAACCTAACATTTAAATATATGTTGTTTTTCTTTTTAATTTTCCCCTTCATTTAATATCTGATTGTCATTTGCATTTGGTGATCATCTCATGCCAACCATCCTCATATTATTGTCATCATTGTCATCATCATCATCATCAACATCTCAATTATTCATGTGTATAACATCCACTTTTTTAATTCCATTTTACTCGTTAAAATTTGGATTCATCTACACTGTGTTATTCATTTATAAAAACAAAATTAAAACACCATTGAAATTATTGATAAAAAAGATTGAAGATCCAAGTGATTTGAGCAATTATACATGTGAAGCAACTAATCGGCAAACAGGCGTTATTTATCAGGCCAAATATCGTGTATCTATGGAGAATGGTCAGCAAGGTACGGTATGATGTCGTAAACAATTGAAATGTCACGAAAATTATATAGAGTTCATCAACAGTTAGGAAATCACTTGATCAACTGTTGACTTTTCGTATTTTTATTAAAAGCGCTGTTTATTTCTGTAGTCCGTAGAGTATAATCATTTTCTAGATTCTCTTATATTAATTCTTCAATGAAAAACTTGATTATGCTCATCGTGAGGTATTACTAAAGTAACCTGTTATGTAACTGCTCTATCACAAAATTGATATTGTTTTTCATTCAATAAGCGATATCAGATAATCAGTATCCCACTGTTTATTGATTTTTTAACTATTGCTGTGATCGGATGAAAACTATACTGTCATTTCATGGTGAAATAATTCTAGATGAATTTAGACTGTAAATATTACTGAAAACAGATCGAATTACCGCTCACTCACATGAGTGAACCTTGCGCATTTTGTTCTGAATTAACAAAAGAAAATTGAAATGTTAGCCAGTAGCAATTTTAGAATCCGGAAATCGAAAATAGTATTCATATTTCAACCACTAGTTATAATCTTATCCATAAATTTGTTACAGTATGAGTTTTGGTACGTTGAATATTCAGAAATTTGTACAGTAGCATACCACTGTATTCTACCGATCAGCAAATTATTCCGCTTCATAAAACAATTCTAAAATATCGTGACTTAATTAGTGTTACTTCCTTGAAAGACAAAATTGACACAGGCAAACATGTACTGCACAGTTAGATTTTGTAGATTAGCTAATAGAGAAATGGGATAATTTACACAAAATCCGGTAACGACTGCAACCAGGTGAACAAATACTTTCTCAGAAAACTGGATGGGATTGAAGATTCATTTGAAGATTACTCATAGCATTCTACATCTTAATCTAGCTAAATACCCGAAATGTCCTGTTCTACTTTTCGTAGCAAAGACTACAGATTAAAGGTCAGAATATACCTTCTTGATAGTTTTTTAACAGACTATTTTATAAAACATCGAAAATGTGGAATTACGAAAAGTTGGCGTTAATAGCCACAATACTAATTAACAATAATGTGCGATGCAACAGATGAACACTCTCCTCTTTTAAAACATATAAGACACTACTAAGAAACCACTTCGAATAAGTCATATTTTTAGTTCAAAAACTAAATCCGTGTTAATGCTGGTACATATGCACAGGGAAGCTTCAACCATTCCTATGGTGTATGTTTCAATATTGCATTATTTATGCATCATTTCTGCACACATGTTTCAATGATAACTATAATGGGCACTTGTTACTATTGGTCTTCATCTACTTCCGCTTATATTTAATCTGTTTTCGTATGTTTCAAACAGAACTTAAGAGAGTATTACAGCACATACTACTTAACTGGTAACTAGTTTTCTGCACTAATCGACTAAAAGAAATAGTGTTGCTTGGCTGGCGGCGGTTAACAGTCAAATCGTCACATTCGCTGGCCCATCAAGAGGATGCACCTGCATCCCAAGGACAGTGATAATGTTTCCAGTCAGACCGACAAAAACAGCACCGATTATTTCAAACACCAAGAAAATAACAGTCAAACCTGTTGTAAATAAATTTCACAACAAAAATAACATGAAGTTGAACGGAAAATACTTAGCATTGTCATCTTCCATTAATATTATCAGTAACATGTTTTCTTACCAGTTAACCTGAAATAAACTTTATTTTAGTCAGTAATTTAACTAATTTAAAAATGACATCTAAAAAATTATTTTTAAAAGTCAAACATCATTAGTACATTGTATCTCTTTAAAGAAATAAAGTCGTGATTATGAAAGATTTAGTGATGCTAATGGATGCTTCAAAAAACATGAAACGAAAACAGTTGTTTCATTTTTCAGACTGTTATTGATTACTCATTCTTCACTAATTCTATAAATGATTACTTTTAAGGGCTAAAACAATACAATTTGCTTCACATTTCTGTGTTCTTAGACATTTATCAGAAGTATAGATACATGGCAGTGTGTAATATGTTTCTGTTTTCACCTATTGTAGCATACTTGTGTTTGTATTTAGCTACACTTCAGGGTAGTGGTCCAGTAACTGTGCCAATATTCAGCATTATCACTATTATTATTGAAGCCATTTAACTGAAGTCTGGGTTTAATTAATTTTAATCAAAATTGTTTTTCCAACACAAAGACACATTATATTTCGGTTAATGGTGTTTGTATACATCTGTTTTGGATTTTTGGCAGGATAAAAGGAATGAATGAGTGCAGGTAGAAGAAAATAATTATTTAAAAAGGTTCCTCTATCTGTGCTTTTACCTAGGGAATATTCCTCATTAAAGGCTAGTGCTGATTCGTGGTTTCATTAATCAGTATTTAACACTATCACGCCATCATCTTTCCTACTAAATTATCTTTATCAGGTACAGGGGACATGACAGTTGTTAAGTTATCATAAAGTTTCTCTAACAGTTGTCGTGTCCCCGAAAGACAATCCATTAACACTTCCTCAGGTCATTTCTTTTGCCTGTTCACTTCAAACTTATTTGTAAATAAGTTATGTAAATGTAACCGAAGAAAATAATAATTCTAAAAATAATCTAGAAACATACACTGTCATACATTTCATAAAGTAGTGGTTATTTAAGACGTTGGTGACAAATCCACTTATGAACTGGGTAGAACAGAATAAATCTGTTCAATTTTTTTTGAAACACTGAAAATCTTTATTTCATTTAAGAAATATATAATTCACAAGACACCCATTGGCATGTTTATGCAATGAAATAATGTGAATACAACCACATTCAATTAAAAGAGGTAATACGAAGACCTACTTTTACTTCGTAATGGTTTCAAAAATGATGCTGTTTTAATATCATCAAATTTAATCAGTTTACCGGTATTTCAACAGCCTAATAGCTTTTATTAAATCCACTTTATGGTGTGATAGAAACCTTTTTCATACTTGGTGTGTGTTCGTTTAGGTAGTGGCACGAATGGTGAAAGGACTGAGCGAAACAAAACTATAACCTTTCACAAAACAAATAAGGTCTATGTTTCATCATGTATATATATATTGTGCTTTTGTGAAATCAACATCTGAATTTATTTAGACACTAGCCATTGCTTACAGTAGCATTTTCAGCTTAGTCTCCTTCTTTTATGTGATAATTCAGATAAGTTTCTTAAATACGAAAGCTCAGACTTTGAATATTTAACTTGTATGGATTGCAGTATGACTGCCAAAAATAATTTTTTTCCAAACATGTGATAATTTCATGGCGTTCTGCTTTCAACTAAATAAATAAATCTCAGATATTCTGAACTTTTCGCGGTTTCATATCCTTTCTGAGTAGCCTCATGCTGAACATAATCCTTTTGTGTGCTGTTATTCAACTTTCTTGTACTTTTTGCCAAGGGTAAGACCATCGAGTTTAGTTTACAAGAATCTTCAATGTTTCTATAACTGGAGAGAACAGAGGTCATTTTCTTTACATTTGGACTAATCAGTTGGATATGGAATAACCGATTCTTTTTCGACACTTTTCATGGTGTTATTTTTAATGTGAAACTCATTTTAACAACGTTTTAACTGAGGCAGACAATTTAGATGATATCAGGAGATGAAAAATATTTGCATCTATCTGGCAATTACATCACTGATATAATGATAAACAAAACTTTTGACTTTTACTGATAAACACACAAAAATAAGCAGTAATGTTTCTGTTTTAATCTGACCTGTGTTCTTGCATGCTCACATTTTGAAAAATTCTCTACGAATTGAAAATAATTAAACGAAGGTTGATATTGCTGTTATGGGCTTTTATAATCAGTAGTAATATTACCTGATAGAGCCTGAAATTTTCCAAATATTTTTTTGATAATTATCACTTTTTACTCTACAAACTGGAAATTAACTCTTATTTAATAGCATATTAGAAACTTATGCTTTTCATTAACTATATTCTTTGTAGCTATGCAACACATTGTAAATATTCGAGCAATTACCGGTGAGGTAATTATCGGCAGACCATATGAAATGGTGTGTGAAGTTCAACCACCACCAGAAGAGCCTGTCAGATTTTCATGGTATCACAATGGTGAAATCGTTCATCGTGAACCTCTATTACGCGTGGATTCATTAACATATCGAGAAATTGGAATTTATATATGTCGAGCTGAGTGGACACCGAGATATTCACGTACTGGAAGTATAGATGCCAATGCAACAGTAGAACTAAGCTTAGCATTGACAAGAGAAACAAAAATTGGTAAGCACTTTTCATAGTTACTTTGCATGAATAGATATATAACTATATATAAAGATGTTGTCTTTCAATTTCGTCCTATTGATAAGAACACAACCCTTTAGTGTAACCATAAAATGCAATGATTTCTCCTCATTTGTTGAAATGTGAAAATGGAAGCCTTCATAGATCTGTACTGGTGCCTTTATACAGCCTAAAGTATTTCTTTCTATATATTCATGCTGGAAAACATCAGTCCACTGAAATCTTAACCCATTTACTCTGTTTTCCATACTTCAAGCATACTTTTCTGATTAGTAAATTTCTAGTTAGTTTTCAATAGAAAACTTAATTTCTGGGGTGTGTGAAATGTGCTTCTTACAGTCTTTAAAGTGAACATATGAGGTAATATTACTGTTTCTATCAAACAATTTCCGTTGTGTTTGATAATAGGGCGTGTGAATTCTGCGGAGAACCACTGAGGTGATAATTTTAGATGTATGAAACTGGTAACACTGTGAATGACTACTTGCGACACATTAGCAAGGACGCTTTGCAGTTAAAAATAAGGATAACGTTGGTTTGTCTTTCTTTCATACCCTCGATTATACTACTGAGTAATAAAGGCCAGCTTAAATCTTTTCAAGTTCCATAGACTTTTAATTAGAGTGTCTTACTACCTGGACTGCAAATGAAGGCGACTTTCCCGTTTTATACTGGAAAACCTTAACTCTAAAGAATACCCGAAAATTAAAACTTTTTTTTGAATAAAGTTTGGCTGATATAAATGTATGATAACTGGTGCTGGCCCAATAAGATTAAGTTGATTGCGTAATGAATATAAAATCCATGCTAAAACTCTAGGGGTTCATTTCGATCAGTGGCGTCAGGTCTTTTGGACTAACAGCTAGTTGTGACTCGAGTAACGTTTGAGCTTCTTGAAGACTGGATGTTGATACCATTGATAAATATATATATATATATGGGGAATTTAATTATATTTAAAAGCGGATCTCAGTTGAATGATTGATTCATATATTTTCGTCAAAAAATCTCATTTTCTAGTAGCTGTACATAGTTTTCCTTCCAGAAGATATTTAGATATTCGGTTGGGATCACTCACCAGCTATCTAAGGTATTTGTTATTGCTCTTTTCAATATATTTAAAAGAGGTGTTCAATAAGACTGGATATTTTTCTTGAGCCTATTCACATCTGTATTTTATGCTCGATGTAATTACTGTGATGGCAGTTAACAGTGAAAACCTACAGACGCCATTGTTCTATCCATCAGTCACTGTTTGAATATGTCTTTAGTCCAGCGTGTGATGGCATGCAGTCTGATACGCTGAAATATCATCCCAAATATTTTAATGCTGCTTATTACACTAATGAATCACAATTACTTTGTGGATAAAATTTATTTTGATGAAGTCTCACAGTGTTATGCAGTAATATTTACTGTTAAACATTACTATATAACATTTTGAAACTTTATCAAAATAAATTTTTTATCCACAATGGAATTATACTCTACCACTGTGCACAAGTTCTCTTCTCATGGTCAACCACATGCCTCAATTACTCTGCATTCAAGTGGTAGTAATCAACAAAAGTGAAGGCCTCATTTAGGCATCAGTTGAAGGACCCTATATGCTAAGAATTTATATTTCACTCCAGTAAAGTAAACTTGTGTAGTAGATTGCTCGATAACCACGAATGTGGTTCCTGGTTCGGTCCCCGGTTGAATCACTTCTCGATCACTCTAAGCTGATAATATGACTGGTGAAGAGAGAAGGTTTAATATGTGGCTAGCAACCCCATCCCGTAAAAATAAACACCACTGTTATTCAAACTTCAGACATCTAGCTTGAAGCCCTATGTTCCACCTGGAACGTAAAGGAATCAAAAAGGTCAGCTTGCAAATACAAAAAACAGTCTTGTATTTTATGGGAAATGGTATTAAATTACTTTTCACTGATCAATTTAGAGTCACTTTTATATCCTGTTATATTCACATAAATTATCAGTATTGATGATGACTTCTAAGATTAAAGTAAATTAATTTTAGATAAAGCTAATGAATACTTTTTGTTTTATGTATTTTAATGCTGACAGAAATGAGTGCTCCGCCTGGTTCCGTTATGGTATCTTTACCAGGAGAAACACGTGAACTTCACTGTGAATTCCCTGTTGCTAATCCAAGAGATGTTAGATGGTATTTCGAGAATCAGTTATTAGAAAGTCATCCAACAATAAATTCAACCGGAAAAATTTTCCGCATAGATCGCATGAGAGTTAGCATTGTGACTATCAAAGGCATTGAAAATGATCATGCTGGAACATATGAATGCAGAATTGGTCGTGATGTTAAACAAACTCATTTGGTTGTCAGAAGTAAGAAATTATGCATTAAGCGAAATCCCTAGTGCTTATTTTTGTCATAGTTGATAAAAATTTGTAGTACTAATTCATGTTATAAAACTGAATAAAACAATGAAGACTGTAATAACGATATGAATTTTTATACGAATACTTTCAATAAATACACGTAACACACCCGGTAGGTAATGTTATATAATGCAATAGAGAAATCTAGAATTAGCTTGTTTAGTACTTATGCAATACACCATATGACCTGAACAAGTTGAGAATTATTGTAGAAAAAAAAATGACACTAATCACATCTGAAGACATGTGAATTGAACAGTTGAGAGTAACCAAATAATTAGAAGAGGAAAATAGAACTATATTACTATAAGTTAAACAAATGTACCCTAGGATAGAAACAGACTAGATGCTGTTCGATAACAGACATCTGGATATAGACCTGAGTTCGAAATTTGGATTTACTCGTGCTTATCAGTAAGATGTCTGTTGAAAATTCGAGAATCCCACAGTCCTTCCGAACTTCAATCGTGTTTCTACGTTCGACAAAGTCAAAGCATCTGTTACTACTCAAACCCCAACCAACTTTAATTACATTTATATATAATTAAATTCAAATAATTTACAGACATATTCCTTGAGGAAATACACTCACATTCGAAATTCTTTTATAAATGATGCAGACAGGGAAAGTCACTAGGTGTTTAGGATTCACTGAATTTCATGTCCCACAAATAACTCTGAGATAATCTTGCAATAGTATCTACATTTTTTGTGTACTAAATGTTAAACATGAGCTTTATTGTTACAATAGAATTCAGGTAAGCTTGAGAAACGAGCCTGATTGTACTTCATTTCCTTAACTTGTTATAGCCTCTTATCAATTCATCAGGGTTGTAGTTTGATTGTAGGTTTCTTTTCATCAGTCTCAGTATCTTCTGCGTCAGTAACACACAGCTGTCAGATTAGTACAGTTAATTTTTCAAGTTTATAAAGCTACTTTTAAATTTCATCAGGTAGCAATACAGAAATCTCTAATGCTGTTACCAAAGTGAACAAGATAATTCCATCAGTAGGCAGTAAATGGAGAATACAGAAACTGATTTCCCACGAGTAGAGTGACTTTATAATTATTAAAGCTAATACAGTTACCAAATTCTGGATGCATATGCATGCTTCATTTATAAATCTACAGATGATTAGAATGACATTTTCAACATCCATATTCAATCTCAGTTGTTACTTCGCAGCTTGCACTCTAGGCTAGATGCGTTTCTAGAGAATTTCATTTACTTCTGATGAATATACGATTTAAGTTTTTTTCTAAAAGGGTGAAGGGTATTATTGTATCATGTATTAAATACGATTTTTAGAAAGCAAAAGGACTGAGCAATGGGGATTTTTTCTATATTGATATACGCTTTTACTAAGAAGTGAAGGCAAAGTTACGTTGAGAGATAAGCACCAGATAAGAATGAAGTCTTTTATGACAACTTAATGTTACTATTTTGTTCTTCATATTATCTTCTTGTATAACAAATTTTAGCTTTTTCTGATTAACTTCCGAACAGCTGAAGAAGGACTGGAGATCAATCCTAAATCTGATACAGTCGATGAAGGTACTGCTGTTGAATTTCATTGTCGTGTGCATGGACTAGCAGGTGATGTGAGTCGTCAACTAGAATGGTATTACAGACCATTCAATAGTCCCACACGAGTTCGCCTTGAGCTTAATCAACCAGACGGTTTTTCGCGTAATGATGATCCATTCGCTCAGCATACTAGTTTTATTAATAAAGCGAGAGCACGCGTATCTGATCAAGGTGAATATATCTGTCGGTTACCATCTCAGAATGAAGAAGTCATTGGAAAACTTTTTGTTAGTAAGTTACAACTTTCATTTATTTTAACTCTACTGGGTTAACCTTCATTTAATATACCAAAACAACCATATGTTATTAAACGGTTGCCTCAATAAAGTAACCTGATATTTTGACAAATAATTTTTACTACATTCTACTATACACAAACGAACTATGGATTAACGCTATAAGTGGACATCTAAATATACTTTGATTTATAAAATTCTACTTTGAATCACTATTCAGTAAATATACATCCTCTTTTAAACAAACAATTTAGCCTGTCATAGGCATGACATAAAGTCAAAGCTCATGCACTGCTGAACGCCTTAAATATAATATATAAATTATATATCCAGTGTAACTTTTATTTTGCTGATTAGAAGTTTGTTTATCAAAACCTATTATCTACACCAGATATTTACGTATAAGAACATCTACTTTGTGGTGAGACACACATCAAATTGTTTACCTTTTAGATTAGCATAGTGGCTATTATAGGATCAAAACAATGCCGAATAATGTATAAATCTAGTCAGATAATTTCATGTAGTCTGTTCGGCTTTCTTTCTGTGTAAACTAGAACATCACTGATAAAGGTCACTATTATTCGATTAGTGCAATATTTCGTTTAGATTTATCTAAATACTGAAACTGACAGCAGCTTTACACAGGAGAAGTGAAAGTATTATCTTCATCAGACAGTTGTTGATTAATTGACCAGACTATATTTTGCAAAAGTTTTGGCTAAAAGCTAGAATGCTAAAAAAAGGCTGTGTGAAAAATTCATTCGGCAAGATTCTGTATCTGGTACCTTTCGTATATAAAAGCTAATAACAACCTAATTCTCGTCATTTGTAAAAAATTATATTCGTAAAATCTCAGCGAAATTGAAATGATTAATTCCAACGTTTCGTTTGGCAATCTGGTTTGAACTTCTTCTGGGAAATTAATCGAAATTAACATAACAGAGGTTTATATAAACCTCCGTTATATTAACGAACGAAACGTTGGAATTAATCATTTCAATTTCGCTGAGATTTTACAAATATAATTTTTTACAAATGTCTACTTCTCACTCGGCGCCCAATTATTTTGGAACTATTAGGTCACAAATCATATGAGTAATTCTTGTCAATTTGTGCAAAATTATGTTCACATTTTAAAACTTCATGAAAATACACAGAAATCATAATCACTCGGTGCATATCGCAAGACCAACTTACTGAAAGAAATATATCAGTTTTTAAATTATAGGTTGTAGTATATTAAGTACAAGGTGAAAAATTTTCTATTAGAACAGAGTTGACCTCCATAAATAGATACCAGTAAGAATGAAAGCAGTCCTTTGATGCTATGTAAAATGACTTCAGACGCCTGGTACTGAAAATAGTTCACTGATCAGCAAACGAATAATATTTTTGTCGAATAACCTGCAGATTCTACAGTTATATCTTCATATCATTTAAAGAGTAAATGTATGCTGACAAAATCAAAATATTAAGTTGGTTGATTAGAGAATGAAATAATTTTACACTAGAATGTTGCACCTGATAGGTAATATCCAAGTCAAAATTAGAACATTTGTTTTTTACGAATTTTTCAAAAACTTTTATTCACATTAAGTTACTCTTAAATAATAATGAATTATGTCGCATCTAATTCCAGCCTTGGCTATAAATTGTATCGACTGAGGATGAACAAGATTTGACAATTAATCTGTGAATTTTCGCACATCTTGTATAAGACATTATTTCCGTATTCAGATTTAAACACACAGAACCATACATTCGATACCCTAGCCTTAGGTTTCCAGCGTAGTCTTAAGTAGATAATCATTCCCTATTCCTTGAAACTTCGGTTTTAACGATGAACTTTTATATTTTTGAAATGTTGTATTATGATTACATCTTTGGTCTAGAGAGGGTGTTTTACTAAAGGGTGCTTTACTCAGTATGAAATTTGTGGACATAATTAAATGAAGTTGAGTATTAAATATAATGAATTCTTTATTCTAACAATGAAAACCTTTTAAGTTTTATCACGGATTGTTACGAGTTAAAAAACCACTGCAAACCAAGGAGGACTGGACAGCTGTTTTGTCCCAGTTTGAGGTTGGTGCGCAGGACCCTCTGACTTTAGGGAAAGCTCGTAGAGCATTCAACCAGTGGGACCCAACTCAATGGCCAGCTCATGAATTCTAACTTTTGCCAATTCGTGATTTTAACGTGACCATCAGTCATTGTTATCAGCTAGTAGTTTTCCCCACTCCTGACGGAATGGATCCCACTAATCAAAACTGCTCACTAGAACTCTAGGGAACTCCGTCCTGTAGCCAGTCACCAGCGAACATTGGCTTCATTTGAGTAGGGTGCTAGTGGCTGAATTGTCTGTAAGCTTGTCTTGAAACCGGAAGCTCTTGGCTTTAACACCGAGTGGAGTGAGTGCGTACTGATGATGAGTCCCAAACTAGGACAAAACAGCTGTCCAGTACTCCATATCTGATTACAACGGAATCGTGATGATCAATGCGTAAGTTTCGAAAGACCTAATACATTCCTCACTTTCGAGTGAAAATGTGAACGTAACCTGCCGCTTGTAAATCTAATTCAACACTGTTTCAATCTAATCTAATTCAATACTGTTTTCCAACTTTAATGTGAAGTTTCTTACTTTTGACGATTTTGCTTTTTGAAATACAACAACAGCATTTTTTTACCATTTTCATTCACTGAGTGGGAATAATAACTGTGAAATTCACTCATCAAATAGACCATGTTTAGCCAAACACTTCAGTTTAATTTGCATGAGAACAACTAACCATGATTAATTACTTAATGTGGCTGGCTGTTTTATTAATTTTGGTACAGACGAAGATCAGCTATAAGAATCACGGTTTTATTACTCCATGTTTGAGATTTTTTGTTGATATACATCAGTGACTTCGCAAAATAATAGCTTAAAGCATTCATTTCAGTACAGAATCTATCCATACGATTCACTTGGCGGGTCTCATCGGCCATAACCTTTTGTTAAATATTAATCGAAGAAATAAAAAATCATTGAGAACTAGGTTTAAACCTGGCGGTTAACTGTGTTTCTTCAGAACTGCTGGTCCCTTACTTCTTTCGTTTCCAGACTGCTGAAGAGTACCAGACCAAGATAAACCTATGGTGTGGCAAATCCTAGCTTCCAAATGATCCTCGAGACGTTACCTGCTTGTAACCAAATCAACAATATTTTAATACCGTAATCATAATATGTTCTAATATGAGGTTTTTCTAAGTGTCAGATATTAGTCCAGCGCTTCTGAAACAGGTCAACTTTGGCACAGTTTTAATAAGTATTTAGAGTGTATGACTAATTCATTTCCCCTTCACTATAAACTTTTATGCCCAGTGTCATTAACCTATAGCTAATGCACTGGTTTAAATGCTTTCTTTTGGTTTTTATGACTGACATTAAATGACATTTTTCTGTGTCATTTGAAAAACATAGGGTTATGAATGAACTAGTATTTGCAAATATTGAATCTTATGTATTTGAATAACCTAGCATTGTGTTGTTTACCTTCAGTTTTTACTATCTAGATGTTTCCAGAATGGCATTTGCATTTGTATTCACGTTATATCAGGCTGCTCCAATTCCTTTTTGTTCTCGACAGAATTACTTGTTATTCTTTGTTTAGCTTAAATGCATGTTTTGTGAAACCATATGTGTCCTCCAATGGAGTTTTTCTACTTTATGATAGTGACTGAAGTCAGGAACCATTTTGGTGATTTTTAAATCATTTTCAAAAGTAACTAAAATCAACAAGAAATGAATGTTTCCTAAAGTACTTGAAATCAGGGCATTCGTCTAATTCACTTTCCTAGTTCACCTATCGAAGTTAACTGGTGCACTATTCAAAACTTTGGAACCTTGAATAAATGTTTGACCCTATTCTGTATGTTTCGCTAATGGACAGAAGCTTGCTTTATAAACCGTTAGAATATAACTTACTGGTTGACTAGAATTTAACTGGTGGATGGTGACTAGCAGTGGAATCCAGGATGCGCATTTCATCCCATTGGGGACTCGTTAGCTGGGTGTACCTCCATTCCCCAGTTAGTGATGATGTTCCCACTGAGGCTCGAACCCATTGCCCATAGTTTCAAAAGCCAAAGCGTTATCCAGACGTCGTCGAAGCATCTGCACAAGAAGCCGACATGTCAATCTGAGACCGAGCACTTCGGTCCAGTCAATCGGCGGGAAAATCTAAAATTCAATTAAATAATTACTGGTTGAGTATTAATAAGTTATGTGAGAGAATCAACCCTATTAGGCTCAGTTCTACGTAAATCAGGATGGAAAACGTATCTAAAGCTTATGCATTCTAAGGATTTCTCCAGCCTGTATCAATCCTTGAACAGATTGCTTTATTATTGTCTAGAAAGTGAAGTGAAGCGTCTTTAAGATTCATTGGAAACGGTGATTAGTTCTTCCGGTTGGCTTAGGTTTCATACTGTTCAGCTGATTAATGGTGGAATCAAACTTTAATACCATCACATCCCCAAGACGTTTATTAATTAATGCATTATCGCTAACCATCCTATGTTTCATTCCTAATTACGTTTGTTTTCTTATACAGGAGCTATTAGAACATATGTCTTGACTATTACCCCTCCGAGACTAACTGTTCGACCGTACCAACCTATAGAATTCGAATGTTTTGCCACATCTGATGGACAGCCAGCTCCATTTACACCACGCTTCCAAGTTAGAGACTCTAGAGTTTACTATGAAACAATTCGTGTCAGTGAAAATCGTGTCAGATTTGTTCTGCAAAGAGGTTTGGGGGCAGATCAGAATGGAACAGTAGTTGAATGTCTTTCAGATGTAAGTTTTACACCAGGTGTCTGAAATATATTTAAAGTATTCTGAACTGAGAGATTATGTTTCATTTTATCAGGCACACTATTTATGTTACGGTTTTATTTTGATTCTGAAAATTGTTAGATGTTCTCCATTGTTAAAATTAAAACAAGATCTTCTTCAGGCTTTTCTCTAATGTACAAAACTTTATATGCAGACATTTTAACCACTGATGGTAACTGGTGAATCAGATAGATATCATATGTTGTATGTCATTAATTACGGTGATTATAATCGTATCAATAACAGTGGGTGCAGCAGGTCAAGTGTGAACACAAATACTCGCCGAAGACATTAGCTAGCGATCGCGCTATTTGCGAATTGGCAGAAGTTGAAATTCATGGGCCATTGGTCTACGAGCTCGCCTTGTAACTAGAAGGTCGTGGGTTCGAACCCCAGTGGGTGCGTACTGATGAACAGTCCCAAAGTAAGGCGAAACAGCTGTCCCAGCTGTCTCCCAGCTTTTCCAATGGTTCTCTAACTGATATCAGCTCATTATGAAATCCTGTAACCAATAATGATAATGAAGAGCAGTTGATTCAATAATGAAAAGATAATTTGGATAGACAATCAGACTTCAAATAATTTTTATTAGTGTACGAAGGAGGTGAAGAATAAGAAAGCCGTAGAAATTTTCATCAGTTTATTAAATAAACCTGGACCAAGGGGAATACAAAGGTATACCTAGCCTCTTTTTTATACAAAGAGTAGTATTATTATCCCAGATTCCCGTAGCTTCGGCTCCCTGTCGAAAAGTCAGACAGAATGCGATAGATAACCAACCTTGAAAGCACTTCTTCTGAGACAAAATAAGACATTTAGATTTATTCTTGGGGATCTGTACCTTTGATGTTTTAATTTTAATTATTTCTTTGAAGAAGTTCGGCCCACCTTACCAGACGAAACGAAGTGTTCCGTCTAATCCTGGTCATAGTTTGCATAAATCTTTTAGATTCTATTTAACATTTTGGAATCATGAGAAACGGTGTTCAGTGATGCGCTCGTTAAGCAGTCTAGTTGTTCTCCCTTTTAAACTTTCTCCACGAAATCAGCTAAATTTGTAAATACACATAGGTGTGACACACTGGGCAGTTTATGTTTCACCTCAGCAGTGTTAATCGGTAGCCTAGAAATTGACAAATAAAGGGTGGCAGCAGTTTAAGCTATTTTTGTGGCTCTAGACAACATATGACATAGAACTTCACTGGTCACCTGCCCACTGGGTTGGAGCTAGAGGAACTAGAATGCATGATTTCTGAAGAAAATAGACAAGAGATGTCTTCGATAACTTCTGAACTGCACCATTCAACTGCATTTTCTTGAAATGACAAAGTTTAATCAAACTTTTAGTTTGGTATAGTAAAATGACGTTATGTCACAGTTCTGCCGTTTGCAAAAAGACTGACCTCAAAATATATTCGGAAATGGGCATCGTTATGGCTATCATTTATTTTGGCTTTATTCTTGAATTATGACAAATTATCAGCAGGAAGCTGTTTACCCAGTGATATAAGTATAAAACTTGGGCACTGTGGTAGAGTATAACTCCATAATGGTTAAGATTTTATTTTGATAAATCAAAATAAAATCTTAACTGTTTACCCAGGTTTCGTGCTTACTGGTAGTCGTCAGTAAGTTGTTTTTTCATCCTCAGATGAACTGACGTATGCTCAGGGATTCACTTCCTCATCACTCAGTAGTACAGTTGTATACATTACCGCTGAGTCACTCATGCCACAGTCGACTGTAATGAATACATTGACTGGTCACTAGGGTACAGTCAATGTCATATGTCTAGTCTGTTTGTCTACCTCCAGTCATCTAACATAGATCTAAAATTCACTGTGATGACTTTTTAGTGAACATCCAATGTGTTCTTGCTGTTGGAACTTCATGAAACTCTATGACGTAATGTTATTAAAGTAACTGTCTTTACAACAGACTATGAATATGCTTATTCTGTTGAATTTTAATTTCCTGAAGTGAAGAACTATATTTTGAATATATTTCTGGGGGATTTTATTTTTTTCCCTAGGAACCCAGCAACACTGCGGTTGCCATAATTACTGTTGAAGATATCTGTCCAGAAGGCTCACGTCGCTGTCGTTCTGGACAGTGTTTACCATCTGGAAGATTTTGTGATGGTGCAAGAGACTGTGATGATGGATCAGATGAAGATCCTAAACTTTGCAGTGAGTTATCAATTTAGTAAATGAAACTTATCTGCCTTAAGAATAAATTTCTAAATTTTCCTATCGAAAGAAATGTTATATTAATACTCATAAAAGAATGCTAATAAAGGAAGTATAGTAATGAGATCGTGATGTCATTTAAGCTTAAGAAATTGTTTTATTATAAAATCACTTTCATTGTGATACTTATCTTGCTTGATCGAAAAATAAATAATCTACATCAATGATATAACACAGTAAACCATTGAAAATAACATCATCTGGAGTAGTCGGTCTCTCCTTATGAGAAACGGTGTTACTGACACACATCCAGGGACATTTTTCAAACGCAGCACTTCACCTAACAAAATAATCAAGGCAGAATTACTCACATAAGATTCTTTCATTTAAAATATGCTTGGATGTAGGTTTTGCAAATATTTTTTTCATTAAACCTTGAGGTAATGAAGTTATCAACTAAAAGAGGAAAGGATCTTGTTAACTAACCTCATAGGTCCCAAATTTTCATGCTGAATTTACTTTAAAATCTTTCCCACCAAAGTTATAAAGGTGCACTTACACAATTATTACTAAATAGATCGTCAGTGAGGAAACTGCTGTCAACAGCTGACTAATGGTTGAGCACAAAATTCATTATCCAACCGTCTTACTATTATCCGAAAGACAATAATACTTTTACCCTAAAATGCCTATAAATCAGACAGTTTAATGCACCAAAATATCCACATTTAACGAACACACGTATCATATTTCTCATATCAGTAATGCTAACAACAAAAAGGGCATAAATTTGGTACAACATGCTGAAAAATAAGGTTAATGCTGTTGCTACCATACACGCTAGACTGTATTTCCGTTGTATAGTGTTATGTGTTTTACATACATATTGTCATTTTCATGCTGAATACCTTCATCGTGGAATTAAGCAAAGCATGCATAAATTTGAAAACGTAAATTCCTTCAATAATGAATATAGAGTTAATGAAAGCCCACTAATCACCACAAAAACTATGCCTAAGCTTTCATGAGAATGAATCTTTAGATCATATAATATTATTTGAGGATTCTTTTGATGAAACTTGAATTTGTCGTGTTTGTAAAAAACTTCGTTGATAGATGTGTGTGATCCAATTTCAAGAAAGTGTGAATACTATCAAGGAAGAGAACCGATTAAACCAACATTTATGGTACACTGGACATGTGATGGCGAAAGTGACTGTGGAAATGGTTTCGACGAAGGCAACTGTGAAGGTTTGTTTCCATTTTCTTGGATTTTTTACCGTCACTTACTTTTGGGTTTTGAAAATATGCATATCGAATCACATAACAACTAAACTTACCCGATCGATTAAATTCTCCGGTTATTCTGATTCAATCTTATTCTTTAGTCAATAACTTTTGTATCTTCATTATGTATGACTCGAACGTAACGTGCAGAATTCTTTTCTCTCTTCTTAAATTCTTTACTGTTCTACGTTATTTCGTAAGAGACTCCTTTTTCAGTGGATAAAATTTATTACTTAGGGAACATTAATGTGGTCAAGAAAAAGGATCAAATTCAATCAACATTTATAACACTACAGTATTGACTACATGACCTAGATTCATTGGTCAAAAACAACATCAAAAGCACAAAGTAGTTCCAGAATACTAATTTTTAGTGGACGGAAAATCAGTCTACATTGTAAACTGTAGCCGCTTTTCGAATTAGTAAATGAAGAGTCCAAGAAAGATTTGTATAAAGCTATATACTACTGATTGATTGGAATGAGTAGTTGCATACCACCCATATCAACTACTAGTGCTTGCTAGCTAGATGGAGATGATGATATGAACACTGGATTGCTGTTTCTCTCGCTTCAGGTCGAGTTCATTGGAGGCGTAACAAGTTTGACTCAGCTCAAAGAGCCACATCAGTTCAAACCACTCGATTTCTGGCTAGTGATATCAATAACTTGGTTTCCGAATGAAACTGCAATGAAATTTCAGCACTCGAACTCTGCAGATTGAAAATTGATGACTAATTACTGTCGTTCTTCTCTCAGTAGCTATGATATTTTAGGTCTAAAAATAGCAATATTCTCAACATATTTCATGATAACTTTTAAAATACTTGGTGCATAGGTTATAAAAGCAAACATTTAAGCAACATGGATGAGGCCCGTATATTTATACCTGCCAGTAGGTGGTATAAAGAACAGTCAAGAGTGAAACCACTGCATGTTGATTATCTCAGTGACAAAGTTAAGTCTCCGTATAAAGACTGACGATAAAACACGTATACGAGTGTGACCTTGGCGCATTCTGAAGAAACCATACCCCGTCTGTTTTGGAAATTTGGTGAAATCTACTGGACTTCTACAGTTTTTTTCAATAATAAGTATAAAGGGATTGATTCCAGTGGCTTCAAGAAATGAGCTCCGTCTAAACTTAAGCTGACTGGAAGTTTTGCAGCCCCCGGTAACAGTGTTGGGTAACAAACATAAAAAAGTAGAAAAGACATCGATAATAGGTATAGCCCGTCATCTGTTCAGTTTTACTAAAGAAGAAACTACTGAAATGTTATGCCAAGCAGAACGGTTTCTTGGATTAACAGTAATGCGTCAACTTCTCAAGAGAGACGGCTGAAACGTTGAAGAGAATTGCAAGACACTTCGTCTGGTGTATGGCAGTACTGCAGTAGCTCACCTAATCGCAGCATAAATGTAACACAAACGTCACGCATCCATGTCTAGCTAAGGCTGAAAAAGTCACTTCCCATCGAAACGAGGCGAAACAGCAGAATTTATGTCTGTGATTCTAAAGATTTTAAGAGACAAGGGTGACGAAATACTGACTAGACTGATTTCGCCATTGGTGTGTGGATGAAATCCTAGAGTACTGCAACCAAGCTGCTCTAAATCCTTCATCATCCCAGTTCACGAAGAAGGGCTCAATTGTTCCAGTAATGACTGCTGATGAATCAAGTTAACCAATATGGTGTCTAAGACCCAATAGTCTACAGTCATACAAAGACTAAATATAGCTTATGTAGGACAAACTCAAGAAAAGGAAGATCTCACGTGCCAGAAAAAATAAAAGTCTTTACCCTTAAATAGGTAATGGAATTTGTCACTTATCGTATCTTTTGACTGAGACATGATGAGGTAATATCTCGCCGTATAGAATGAGCATTAGTTGTATGTGATCCTTTCTAATCAGAACACTATAATGAAACTGGCTAAGCTGTGAATGAACTTATGAAGGATTTTCACCTGAAGTGACAAAAAATTAGCGATATCTATCTTGGATAACCGATTTTACACCACTGTTCTTTTCTGAAACAAGTATACTAATGCATGCAGTTCTGTTTAATTTTGACCTCTGAGGAAATCCCTTGTTGTTAAGGAAATGCCCACTTAACTTTTAAACTGTCGACTGTTATGTGAGAAAATCCAAACAATTGATAGCTTTTACAGAACTCTAGTTTTTACTTTGCACATTTTAATTAAATGATTATGTGGTGATTTACTTGATCAAACCTAATCAACTGCTTGCTGACGAAATCTCAGATTACTTGGGACACATTTCAGTTAGCACCGTATCTAACTGACCATCAAAGGGGTGTTTACTACTTGACTATCTGTTTTTTCTACTGTAAAGATGACATAAAAATATAGAGGGTTTTTTAACCACAGGTGTCTTCGTTCTGCTAACTGCGTCAGATGAAGCAATATGTCCAATAATAATGATGCTATGCGCAGAATTAACCGAAGAGGGAGAGAGACAGTCGGCGAAGTTATAAGTGCTCATCTATTGAAACAGCAGGACATATTCTGTGTATGTTAGACCACAACTTTCCTCAGTCAGCAATATTACTTGAAGTAGAATTTGGTTGAACATATTAGTGGCGGTCAGACGAAAACTTGTCATTAATTTAAAGGATCAAATTCTATTGGTCCGAGACAAGTAAGGAAATTTAAACTGTCTGTTTGGTGTACTTTAGACACTAAAGATCAACGGCTGAAGACTACTGAAAATATGAATCGAAATCTTCAGGGAAGCGGAGATTGTTTACACTTTTGTCGCCTTCCAGAACCTGAAAACTGATTAGTTATTCTGTTCGTCTTGCCCACTTCGGCCCATCATTGTACCATTGTTTCCACTCTCTTAATTTTTATGCTGTTTTGATGTATGACAAACTGAGCCGTTGCTCTTTTGAGCCAGATTCTCGGTTAGTTCATCAAGTGGTCACACTTATTACCATCTAGTTACCAGGTTGTGTATGTTTTATTGTCGTCCGGATTGTGAGTTATACTACCCTTATTGAAACGTCAACTATCGGGCTCTAAAAGGCACTTTTCAAACTTAATCATTTATATTAGGAAGACTCTGAACAACATTGTCTTCACAATAGAAATTGCATGAAAACGTAACATGACCATATCTTTTGGTTGACTTCAGATAATAGCGTGGTTGCATATTGAAATAATAGAGAAGATTTGTAGCTCAGGTGGATGATTTGTAATATTGCATATTCTCTACAGTCTGTTAATAATTATCTAAAGGATTAATTGCCAAGCACCTCTACACAGTCCCTGCATAAACAACTTCTGAAAGCGTTTTCCCTTTCGTAATCAGAATACCAGAATTAAGACTGTTTGAGATAAGTGATAAAACTGAAAAGATACAGGAGTATCGATCATAGGTACAACGGGAACTGGTTACTTTCTCCCTAAATATAAAGTTATAAGACACTAACACAAAAATAGAAGTAAAATGGAAGCGTATTTATGAAAGCTTGTTTGTTGACGCGGAATTTCAGCATCGTGATAGGTTATAATTTGACGTTAGATAGGGTTATTTATTATTTTCCATATGTCCGGGATTGGTGTTGCGTCATTCACATTACATATGTAGAAGTTGAATCATGGTGAGTAATCTTTTTCTCCTCCTACAAGTATTTATTTTCAGTACGTCACACCAGCCACTGAAAGGTAATATAGGTAGGCGGGGAGAAGGATCCGACACATGCGATAAGAATGACACCACACCAATCAGGATTACGTAAAAATGCGTGCAGGGAAAAATATTAGTAAGAAGAAGTAGGACTGCATAAAACAAGTTGGTCATAGGACTAATTTGATAGGATTATGAACACTACATTGTGCTCGAAAGTGGTACTAGTAATAAAACTGTTTTTGGATCAAATTTATTTAACATGGAAAAGTCGTTCGTATATATAGTTTCTGATGAAAATAACTTACATTAGCTCACTAGATTCTTAGAAGAAGCAGGAAACATAATTGTTGTAATATTGTTTCAGTAATATAACTCATCAAAACTTTGTTTTCTCTGTTTCACAGCTCGAGCATCTGAACGTTGTCAAGATCGCATGTTTACTTGTTCTCGTGACGGTCGTCAAATCCCAATGGCCTTCGTGTGTGACAAAGATCGAGACTGTAGTGATGGTGAAGATGAACTTACTTGTGGTAGGTTCATTTTGAATCAGTCACTTTGATTAATTAAATGCGAAGCGAAGTTATGAAAAGAGATATCTTCTCTGACTCGTATGTTTTTAATTAAATGAATTAATAAATTAGTACAGAGATTATTCAGTAAAATAAGCAAGAAATAAAATTCAAAAATATTTTACTTTATGCAAATTTAATTGCAAAATTATGCTGTACATAATAACTTAGTAAACTTCTAACAATTCAGCAGATAACAGTGTTTCCATATGGTGTTAGTTAGAGGATCAACTAATTAATTAATTGGTTATCACATGACTAAGACATTGATCAATCTGTTTATAATTTATCTCCTGAAGATACATTCTAGTTTTAAGAAATTATTTTCACCTGTAATATAAAAGCTATTCCGAATCTCGGACGAAACTTCTGTAGTGAAACAGGGATTTAATGAAATATCTGCTAAAAATATTCCAAGCCACATCCATAGTCGTATATTATTATTTTATCAGCACTCTAGATTTTGCCTATCTGCACTTAGAAATACAAAACACTTTAACCACTAGGATACATACCCACTGTTTTACTACACTTAAGTAGTATTACTTGTGGATACAAGCTGTGCCGTGATATTAAAATGTATTCGCAAAGTAGTTAACATAAAGTTTAATATATACACTTTCAAAAAGATGCCTATGAAGAAGGAAATACTAAGTGTTTATGGGTCGTGACTGTATTAGTTTACTCAGCTTCTTTTTACAGGCTTATGTGGTTGTGGCATCAAGAAGAGGCCATAAACTGTGATACATTTTGAAGTGTGTCCAGGATCTTTGTTCTTATAACGAAAAATTAAATTAATCATTGTTTGCGTTTCAGACTTGCTTGTTTTACCCCAGAGTAAGAAATAGAAATCTAGCAATAATATTTTAACGCATTATATGACCCACTTTGTAATTACTCACTTTCTGAATTCTTTACTCACATAAAAAAATGAATATCTGAATTTTTTCAACTTTTATAGCTGCACCAATGATAGCTGAGCCGCTCACAACACGCTATTCTGTTCGTCAAGGTGATACTGTAGTACTTGTTTGTGAGGTGACTGGTAATCCTGTGCCATTCGTCATTTGGCGTTTCAACTGGGGATGTCTTCCTGAAGAACCTGGTCGTTTCCGAATAAGTAATGTGCCACGCAATTGTGATTCACCTATGCCAACGGTTGTTAGTACACTGACAATAACAAATGTAAGACCAGGGGATGATGGAATCTATAATTGTGAAGGTCTTTCAGGAGCTACTCGAGCTTTATCCAACGATCTGGTAGTAATGATTGGAGGTTAAGGTGAGACGGCTCAGTACTGGCTAATTTTCCTTTTGCTAACGTTATACATTATAACAGATGGATGGTATTTAAGTATGCATATGCTGCCTGTGACTACGATTAATTCATAAACACATAGGAACAAGTGATTCCTTTAATTTCACTAACTTTTAGCAATTATTTTCAAGTCTGCTGACTAAAAGCAACCCAGTAATACATACAACGATATGATCTCATCATGATTTCTCTGAAAAGTCAGGCTATTCTGCCAAAGAAATTTTATTCAGGGGACATGATGAGCAATAAACTTTTATTATGACATAACTAAATGGTTTCAATTACCCGTTCAGATGTTTAAAATCGATTGCCAAATCATTCAAACGCATTCGCATGGCTAATAAATAGTAAACCAATTAGTAATATTTAAATAAAATGTCAACGTGGAGAAAAGTAGGGAGGATTAAAGCAACCAAGCACATGTATTTGTTCTGATTTTTCCCAGATTTTCCAATGATATTTTTGAAGGCTGTTTCAGTTTGATTCAGTTTTCAAAATTTGTTACATTCTATTCAACATTTGGACAGTCCATTAAACTCAGTTTATTTTGTTGACTACTATAAGTATTACCTTATAGTTCTTGTGAAGAATGGAACTATGCAACTACTAAAACATTTCATATTGTTTTAGCTATTTTTAGGCAGAAGTCAAGAAAAAAATCTTGAAAAATAAGATACATTTGAAATTTTCAAATTGTCACCAAAAATTTCTAAACTAAAAATGTCAATTACTGACAAATAGTCTGTTAACAACTTTACGGTCATTAACAAAGGACTTTTTTCAGCAAAAAGAAAGGGTTAATAGAAAAATCATTACTGTGTGCAGTATCTATTCCGTCGTGGTTTCATCAATCTCTGAATAAATCTGATTATCGAGGTTTATGCTTGTGGGCAGTTAGAGGTAAGTTGGGTATGCAAACTTTAGAAAGCCTTCATTTCATCACATACTATCTTCGTGGTCAAATGCGCTTCCATTGACAAGTAACTTCCTTGAAACTATGACAAATAAAATGACTACATGAACAAAATTAATCGAAAACATTTTCCTAAGTTCCACTGATAGATTAATTTCACCTTACAATTTCCTATATGTTACCAATGAAATGACTGACAATGAGCATAAAATATCTGCATATCAAAACTATTTGGCCTACATACTGACGTCTTTGTATACAGAGAGGCACAACAGTTCTGTTCACCTTACCGCCATCTACATCAATAACATTATTTAGAGAGATTTGTTATACACACTTCGTAGTAATTTAATCATTGTTTTCTTTCTTCTTTTTTTATCTTTATAGATAGAAGTCTAATCAGGAATATAACAAAAATGGCAAGCGCGAAATTCACTCAAATATATATTATATATATATAGCTTAGAAATATTTCTTCCAGGTTTTTAACATTCTGTGTTCATATATATATATATATATGTATATATATATGAACATTATACCAAAACAAACTAATTCTACTTCTTCATTTTTTGCTAAGTATATTTTAATGAATTACTGACTTCTAGTTATATTTTTTTTAAATGATAATAAAACGACAAGCTATTTATTTTACCTTATTTATTCATTAATTATGCAGTTAACATTAATTTGTTCCTTTTAATCAAGAAGTCAGCCACCAAACATTAATCCACTGTTTTCTGATCCTAGAAGGCAAACAAACAAATAAGCCAACAAAACAAATGAAATAAAATAGAATTAGCAATTTTAAACTCTGATTAGTGACAGACACTATAACATTTAATTATTCAACTTGCATTTTCAGATAGTTTGTTATTCTATTTTGTTTTCAATGACCAAGGCATCTATTTATTTTCCTTTGTTTCTTTTATGATGTGATGGAATAAGGTTGGAGATTATACATTTTAGAAAACTTGTAGAAGAATCAAACACTAACAAACAAAGCGGAATAATATTTGATAAAGTAATAAAATCAGACTGATAGAATCATTATAATTGCATATTCTTTAAATAGTAATTAGTTTAGTGATAATAAACAAAACTTCTAGCCTCTCTTCTCTCTTATATTCTGTTTTAATCCCTGATTTTTATCAGTATATTTAATTGACTAACAAATCAAAATATTATTCTAATTGTTTAGTAACACTGTTATTTTAGAAATATTCATGCTTATTAATAAATATATATATTTTTTGTTTACATAAAACTTATTTATGATACACTAAATTAAAACTTGTTACTGTGAGTTTGAAGGGGGTTAAATGAACTTAAATATCAAGTTATGCATTTCCGAAAGTTTAATTAACGTGATCAGCTAGCTGTCAAACTTTACAATTCTATCTTGAAGTTTATCTGATGAAGAATAGATTTCACATCTTACCTAATATAGAGTTTTAAGTGTTTTCTGTCAGAGTTATCGCAAGCAGAATTTATTTTTCATTGATATCAGTGTACATAGAGTCAGTAAGATCTATTTTTAGTTCATCATAAGCCTGTAAACAAAATCTCAGTGTCAACCGTAGCTGTAGTCGCAGACGATTTGGTTATCACTACACCTTCAATACGACAAAAACCTATAGCAGACATAAGATGGTTGTCAAGCTGCCAAAGTTGTACATTTATATGTACATATATATATATTGTTGATGGAAAATCAACTTGATACATCTAAACAACAAATAACTTTAAACTTGAGATTTCATTTCACTAAAAAATTAATACTTGAAGAACTTGGTACGCTGTTATGACACATAGTCACTAATAACACGGATCACAAGGTTTTTCAAATATATATATATATGTATATATAAATATATATATATATATATTTCAGCAGTGATTCAACTGAAAACTGTTTAGAGATAATATGCATCATATTCCTCTGATTTTTCAGTGATACATTCCAAACAATGGAATGCTGCTCCATTATAACATATTTAAGCGAAATGCAGATTCGGAACTTGTTAATGTACACTATTAAATATTATATAATTGGCAGTAGGTGAAACTTACTTAAAGTGTTATCAGTACAACAATAATAAAGCCAAATGTTAACACTCTGTTATCTAGTGAGAGCATTTACATATTTCTTTGAGAAGTATATTTTAGAGTAGAAAAGGCCGGTCTCATAAGAACTCCTCTATTATTATTATTCCCTTAGGTTCTGAGTAGAGCATAGGGCTTCAACAGTGCACATTTATCTCATCTTGTATGATGCAGTTGTCTTTAGATGACTCTACGATTGACTATTAGCTCTCATCTCCTCTACGCATGACTATTTCTATGTCATCATCGAAAACTCATCTCATCGTTTCCCATTTCGATTCCTCTCAGAGGACTGGCGTGGGACTTCACTGAATAGTATTTTCAACGTGTCTCCATTTCCTCCGGTATATTTCTTGAGCAATAGGTTCTTGGTCTTTTCTTTCACAGAGTTTCTTGTTTCTGATTCTTTCTGACCATCTGATATTCAGCGTCAAACGAAGGCAGCTGCTGATGAAAAGTTGAAGCAGTTCGTTGGAAATGCTTTAAGTGAAGCTCTAGCCGTGTTTTGGACCAACGCAGAAGGAGTGATATAATAACAGAATTTGTGCACCTTGGTAGAGTATAATTCCATTATGGGTAGAATTTATTTTATTTATTGATGACGTTTCGAGCATAATTTATTGCTCATAATCATATCATATCACCTTGATATGATTATGAGCAATAAATTGTGCTCGAAACGTCATCGGTTGAAAATTCAAATCCATGCAGAAGATTTCTACACTGATTTTAGAAGAATGAGAGCCCATTTGTCTTTCCAATCCTGGCTTTGACATCTTCAACCCTCTCACCAGTGAAGTGAAGTTGATAAATAATCCTTGTTTTTGTTGATTGGACATCTTCATCACGTCGATCTTCTCTATATTCACTTGAAGTCCTGTCTTTGCTACCATCTCAGCCTTTTTACTGTTTTCCCTAGTGGGTCTTCGAGACTGAAAGATATAAAACATAAAATACCCATGGAATCTGAATCTTCTAGTATTCTTCTTTTGGTCCAGGGTATACATGAATTCTTATTCCCATGGCTTGCTGCATGATTCAGTCCACCATACTCAGGAATACCATTGGCTATAGTGGACAGCCTTGTATTACACCTGTTTTCACTTCAAACCTTGCATTAACCTTTCCGTTGTGAATCATTTGGCTTATAACACCATCATATAGCTGATGAATGAAGTTAAAGCGGCTGCCAAATTATTTCTCAGTCAGCCCTATAGAAGGCTCTACCAAATTCAATGAATTTGAGGTGAAGAATTGAATACCGTTCTATGCTCTGTTCTATGATGATACGTAGCGTTGCAATGCGATATCTACACAATATGCTTTTCCTGAATCTAACTTGTTCTGGGGAGAGTCTCGCATAAGATCAGCTTGTAGTTTCTCCAGGACGATGCGACTCAGTATTTTGTTTGGCGTAGACAGGAGCATAATTCTACTCCAGCTTTTGTAAAACCGTAAGTCACCCTCCTTTGGTAATATGACAAGCCCTTCTTCCAATCGGTAGGAACCTATTCTTCCTGGCAAACTTTGTGTTATAGTGGCGTGGGGAAATCTTCTGAGATGTCTGCATCCGTTTTTGGTACTTCCGAAGGAATTCTGTCTAGTCCTGCTGCCTTCCTGACTGGTTTTCAGTAGCCTGGTTGCATTCAAGATTCCTGATTTTGTTGTCGGATCGCTGTCCACTGGTAGTTCTTTCTCTACTGTAGGAGGTATTTCTGGACGAGTTGCAGGTAATAGTCGGTTCGGGAGTCCTTTGAAGTGATCGGCCTATTGTTTTCTTTGTTCCTCTACTTTGGTAATTGGGTTTCCTCTACTATCTTCCAGTGGTTTTGTCGGTGTCGATCTCTTCCGGGAAAGAGGCCTGGTTATCTCACATAGTGGTCTGAGGTCCTGCCTACCTGATGTGTCCAGCAGACTGTGTCTCCACCGACCTGAGGTTCAGATGAACTTTGTCTGAAATTTGGTGAGCATGTTGCTTTGTGTACTTTCTTGTGCCTCCAATCGTTCACGCTTCCTCTTGGTGTTCCACTTCATTGGATTCTTTAATATGCCACATGCACTAAGAACTGACTGTTTCTATACAAATATTGAGGATATTGTGTAGGATGGATCTTCAAGTATCATTCTTCAGCCGAGAAGTTTTATTCATTTCCATTCAAGGACTATTTGGCTTGTTTCATTTTTACCATTTATAATTAAACATTCTCAGTTTTCATATTAAAGTTACTGAGTAAACTTCAGTCTCATATTTGTTTTGAGACTAACAATTCTATAACACCCTATACAAAACATCACCTTAACAATTTGTCGTGTATTTAAAACAATTAAGAGTAGGCTTTCAAATTTGTTCGCTCTTAAAAGTGGACATAAATAAATATAGATGAACTCAAATATGAGTAAACGGAATCGTCATTTAACAATGCCTAATCCTCATTATATTGATATTTATCCTTCTAATTCATATTATTATTTGAAGCTGTCCCCTAGTCAACAAGAATCCCATAGTTCACAATTCATAGTTTATTGAGCTGTTATTGCAATAAAACGCTGTAATATTTATTCATTGTTCATCAGTAGAACAAATGACTACTTTCCACTTCTTTTATAAAAATAATCACTTAAGTATAATCCAAAGTTCAGTGAAGCTAACTTCTCACAAAACCTCAGCTGCATTATTATTGAACAATGTTTGACCGTTACATATCATGAAATCTTTGTATTTCTTGTGCTGCATTTGACCAGCACTAGTGGAAAATTTAGTAGTAATGAGATATACAGATTGAATCACTGAAAGAAAAAAACAATAATTCTGAGGGGAAAATATTCTCCTCCTTAGGCTGTTCTGTTTTGATTGTTTTTACAAAATACTTACAATACATAGACTGTAGTGAATTGAGTGAAATTATGTTTACTTTTAAATTAGGTTCCTATCAACGTCTGTAAACTAGGGTGGAGCTATTTTTAGAAAACAAAACAGAAGTTACCAAGTACGTTAGCGACAATTAACAAATATTGCTGCTTCGAATTAGAAGAGTACAATTAACTGCAGAATTAAGGGTGAGAATGGAAAAGTGAAAGTCATTAAAGTTGGAGAAGATTTTAGCATAAAGCATAGTTTCTGTCACAGTAAAATAGAATTAGAAGAATAATTAGGGTTGTTTCGCAAGTGATTAAATTTTTCAAACTAATTATACGAGAATAAATAGTCACCAGAATTAACAAGGTAGCTGAAACAGTGGTGTTACAACAATATCTTGGAATTTCGATAAAGGAATAGGGAGTGATCCTTGTAGTACACTCGAAGAATGTTAACTAATGAAGCTGAACATTACCAATCAGATATCTGTACAAATTAGTTGTAATTGCAGGTTTATTCAGACGGATTCTGACAACTCTCATTGCGTGTAAAAAGCGAACTGGTTAAATATTCGTTGGTGAGACTGATGGTAGAATAGTAATATACAGCAAATTGGTAGAATCTGAAAATTATAAAACGGTGAATTCTGACGTATCAAATGAATAGTAGTATGCTCTCAGTGTAACGTAAGGTTTTAGGAGTGATTCTTCGAGGGGTCTTTGGTAAACACTACTATTGAGTTTGGACTATATCAAAACAGATGTTCCATAACCTAAGGTGTCTCTACTGACATATCAGCTTGGTGAAACCAATCCTGAGATCCTGAAAAGTTGAAAGGTTTTGTGAGGTATTCCTAAGAAACTATTCTTTTTAAAGACACTGTAAAACACCTCCAAGATAAGCCAAATAAAAGAAGTTTCCAAATATCCCTAAAAATTTGAAAAGTATTATTAGTCAGGTCACTGAACTACTAGGTATTATTATAGCTTAGTATGGACTTTCTAAGCGGGATCAATTTATTGACTTGGTAGCGGCAAATATGACTTTGCAGTCATTCCTGTAACTGTTACCTTTAACAGTTTTCTTTGCTTTTGCTTAACTCTAACATTCCCCAAAGAATAATTCGACTCACTACCTTAAAAAAGAAACAGTTACAACTTAATAAATGTTTTCATTTTGTAATACCGCTCACATCAATACCATGAATACTACGTAAAGTCACTTAGATTAAAAATGAATGCCGTGCTTTGCAGTTAAAACTAAATTTCGAATAGTTAAACAAAATAATCGCTTTTTTTTTAAATTGGCAACAAAGATAATACCTACAATATTAGCAACAGAAAAATACTATAAAGCAACCACTACTATGAACTATATAAATCACATCAGCCATATATTATACCAACGAATCAT